TACTTTGTAACGAAGATTTTATCAGCCCTCGCATCTTTTCCAAAGATGTTCTCCATTTCCGATCAGAAACCCAAATTAACTTCACCCGTGTTAACAATTTCCGCTCCTATCCACTTCGCAATAGAACTTGCTCGAGTCGGAACACAGGAGAAATTTTGCCTGTGAATCTCAATTTCATAGAGGTTGCGTATTTATTTCAGTCACTTACCAGACCTCCGTTTATAAGCATCCATCCCGAAAGTATTTCGCATGTCTTGGTGTCCAAAAAGAGACTCATATAGTAACCATCCGCTTTGACATCGGGTAACTGTGTATGTCGCCAACTAAACGAAGCATAGAGCTGGCCAATAAACACCAAATAAGACGTGAACCTGGACCACGATAGCTGAGAGATCTCTTGAATAGAGCTGTCGATAATCTTTGGAATAATGCTGTCTTCTTGAAATTGCTTCAGTTGGTTGAAGACCAGACAAATCACTTCCTCATTTCTTTCTTTAACTCCTTGGAAAAACTTTACGATTCTTGTTTGGTCATGGGCAAGTTTCATAGGCGCACCATAGAGGAGGTCTTTCACCGAACTTATGTAAACTTTAAGAAACACGACTTAGAGAGACCTGCAGACCTACTTTTTTCAATAGTTGCAGCAAATCGTCTCGGTCCACGATGAAAAAGATTCCTCAAGTAGAGACAGGTTTGTGAGGGTAACTAAATTGAACTCTAGAAGAGACTCGATCAAAGCTATGAACTCGCAATAATTAGCTGGGTTGATGTCTAGCTTTCGACCCGGAATTTGTCCTGTTCACCATAATTTAAATTCTGCTCGGTTGCCGAGAGTTAAACCCGTCGCAAAGCGAAGGAGAAAACTGATGAAAACACGAGGGTAATAGATCTGCAACAAACTGTCTGGGGTTGAATTGCTATGTTCAGAAAAAGGCATCAACTTGATTAACACTGACAAAGACAATAAATTATGAAACAGGTGCACGATGAAACCTTAAGTTCGCAGTACATCCGGGCAATCCAGGTTTTTTTTTTCGTCCCACAACCGCTCTCGTTCCCAGAACCCTAGCTCCTCTCGGTAGCGGATAGTGTGAATGAAGAACAAGAGAACTTAAGATGTAGGAAGGATTTGCGTCCTGAAGCCGACAAGCTCCGTTCTCGAATGACTCTGCAGTGAAGTTGGGTAAGTTTCACGAAGATTGGATTCATATTTTCTAGTTGCTGCCATCTGACTTCAATTCAGGAATTAAACCGCGGCACCGAACTAAAAGCTGCACGATCCTTAACGTCAAAATATTTTACCATTTCGATAAAAAATAACCTCTTAACAGAACGAGAATGCTGATATATCATTGTACGAGAAGGCGATGAAAAAAAGCTTTTGTAGCGCAAAGTGATTGCTTATATTGTCAAAGTTGATATGGTTTGGTGAGCACGGAACCATGCAGATAGAGAGTGCATGATGATACATTGCTCTGGACATACACACACCCGACAATTACAATTACGTCATTTTTACTTCAGTCTCCTTACAGGATCAAAATCCTTTGCACTATTCACCTTTGTGCATAGCTAGACAGGCAGAACCTTCCCAAACCAGACACACTCGAGAGCAAAGAAATTTCCTTTTAAAAGAAGTTTTGGCTTATGAAGGTAAAAATAAGCGACCCCTCGAATGAACGCGGAATTAAAATAAATGAAAGGGAAAGGTCCCTACGACTTGTCTGCGATTGGATTATTGGTAGTTCCTAGGTTCTTTCAACAATCGATATACTCAATCGGTACGGAAGGCAAATATTAAACTGTTTTAAAAGAACTTGTTTTATTATGATCTTTATACATTTTTACATATTTGGGCGTGTATCTTACATGTTTGCATATTTCACATTGTTCAATTCATCTTTACAAAAAGTCTTTTTTACACACTTTACATTCTTTATTAATTTTTTCCCTTAAAAAAAGAACTACTATTGGACAGAATTCTTTGCTATGTTGCATTTTATTTACAAGCACAAACACAGAAATTAAAACTGAGAACAACGGGTAGATTCCCTTCGAAAATAACTAATTCTTGACTTCAAAAGTTGTCAACGTCCCTTTTTTTAAATAAAAAAAAGGGAGGTTGTTTTTAAAAGATGTAACTTGATATAGAGTGAGAATTTTGACTGCCTTTTGGTCTGGTTCCTCCCCTTTGATCTTTCCGGCTTGTTTCACATGCCTCCGCCGGCTGAGTTCTCAGGATCATTGAAACACTCAAGCCCTTCTACCACGGCAAGGTGGCAGTCGAGAGAGGGGTGTGTGTGTGTGTTGGGTTCTCACAATATTTTTGAGCTTCCTGCATTGTCACAGGAGGGTCAAAAGTATTGTGAGACACCTTTGAATCGTATTAATTTATGTAAAATATAATGTTCAGAGTAATGAAATAATCAACAGTCTCTTCATTTTTAAAACTTGATTTGAACGCGATTTCCGAGTAGCTTGATGTCTTCACCAAAGGAAATTCCAATGTTATGTAACACTGATTCACTAATTGTAGCGCCTTTCCTCTCTTTGATGAATTCTCTGTACGTTTTCTGACAAACAGTACAAATAATAGATAAATGGCTCATTAGTTCTTGGTGACTTTGAATTGACCAACTGACGAACAAGGGCGCGAGCTGCCTTAAAGTCTCGCCGCTCGGAAAGGAGTTTCAATTGTAGGCAATCTTTTATAGTAGCCTTTAAAAGAAAAAGAAAATTCATCTCTAGATATTTTAGAGATGTTTGTTTTTCACAGATGAGTCTATGAGTACATTAAATCACAAATTTATTTTTTCTCCGCTTGAACCACTTTCTAGAATTGTCGAACAGGCCTAAATGTACATTAAGTCATCGAGCATTTGTTTGAGTCATGAGAAACTAGTTTTTCTTCCCGTGCGGGAAAGTGTGCGGGATGGAAGGGAGGTTAACTTTATTTTTGCCTACATCTTTCCTCTGTTTAAGTCTAAGATATCTGCTCACACTTTACCAGATTGACACAGTAAATGACATTAAACAGAAACCAAACTTATTACATTAACAAAAAAATCCAAAAATTGCAAAAAAAAAAAGTCAAAAAATGTGCAAAAAAGTGGTTTTGAAGCTATGGTAGGTAAAGGATTGTAAGTTGATGCTATTGAATGTGCAAGAGATTCCGAAAAACTGCTAAAATATCACTACTACCGAAACTTATTTCAAATTGAAACTTTTTGATAATGATGCGATTTGAGAATTTTCTAAAGATCGGGTATTACATTGAAAGAATGACAAAAGATTAAAACCAAGAAAGATACACAGTGAGAAAGTACCACAAATGAACGAAGGAACAAGAAATATAGTTAAACAAGAAGCAAATCAAGTACTAAGCAAAATAAACACTTACAACTTATGGCGGAAAAAAAACGAAAAAATATACAACAAAGAAAACATTACTTACAACTTATGGCGGAAAAAAGGAGAACTCTACAACAACCAAAAACATTACTACTTATGGCGGAAAAAAAATTACTCAAAAGCAAACTGAATTGTGACTTATTACTTACTCAATTGCAAACGAATTAATGTTACGACGTATTTCTAGGTAAACACAGAAAACACAACTGGATTGTCTTAGGTATGTTCTATGGTGCTAATCAAACTACAGAACTTGAAAAGTGTTGAATAAATTGGAATTGACGTTCTCCAGTAGTGGCAATAACGTTCGTCTTGATTAGTTTATCAGATGCTGTTTGCATAATCGTTCAAGAGCTTTAATTTCCCTTTTTTAAGGGGGGCGGTGCAAGGGAGCAGAACTAAGATGGCTGTATTCCCTCCCAAGACGATTATATAACTAGGGAGGGAAGGAGAGGCAAAGCTCCCACGTTCTGACGCCGAAATGTTATCGCAATCCCAGCATAAAATTGGGTTATGAAAATATTCAGTCGCATAATCTTTTCGAAATTCACAAATCTATTCTTTTGGATTGTACTCTGGCAAATGATGAAAAAAAACGCGATCCTAATAAGAAAGTTCTGAGAGATTGCTTTTTCTTCTGCATTGTCACAAATCGATCACGAAGACGCTGGACACTTTCATGCTTGGGGGTATGTGCTTGGCTTCATGTGCGATGAGACCCCTAGATCCTTCCCCATCAAAACGCTTTTCTGTTTTAAGAGCATAGCTCAGGTTTTGGTTAGTGAAGAGTTAGCAAGTGTTTCCAGCGATTTATCAGGTCATGGTTGCAGTGGTATCCAGTAATAAGCATATTTTGTATAGCTATTTTGTGTTCCGATTGGTTGATAGCGATGGTTATCCGCCACTCGAACAACCAGTGCCAGCGCTTTTTTTTTTAAAAGCTTTTTCTTTTTTTTTTTTTTACCTTTACCAGACTTCCCTCAGCCGGCAGTTGGGAGGAAATCTTAATTAAGCTTTAAGACAAAAATGCTAGAGTTTTAACTTTAAAAGACTGAATTGGCCAAGCCGCACATTCGCAGCACTTTGTTCCAAATATATCATCGAAAGTTGGGAAGCAGTTCTCATAATTCCGGTGGTGCTGAACCGTGATGATGATGAACTATTAGCGCCGCGACTCGAACGGCGAGCGTGCGAGAGATCTGAGAGGGGTCTGGCACTAAATATGAGTGCCTCTCATTTTTGTCTCAGTCTTCGCGGGCTCTCGCGAGCTTGCATCGCTCGTCTGCTCAAACGCGCGAGCTTCGCCGTCCATGTCACAGTACCAAGGAAAGACTGCACGCATACTGGATTGCTTTTGACTCTCGCTTTTCACTCCTTTTAAGTCTTTTCTTTATGTTAAACCGTAAGCGGACACAATGAGAGACCTATTATTGAGTCATGTGGCACTTGTAACCAGCTCTCCAGCTTTTACGTTTTCACATTTTCATTGCACTTCACATTTGGTATTAAACACTGAAATATTTGTAACTGTTACAAAATCGAACCGTTCATGTTGCGTGGCGCCTTTATACAAGCACACAGACGGAGAGAACAACAGATAAAATATTTATTGGTCATTAGTGTCTCTATTACACTTTGACGAGTATATTTTATATTTTCACATTTCTAGTGCATTTAACACGATTCTTATAAAACGTTTAGATATTTTTTTCTGATAAAAATCTAACAATTTACACCCCATGGCGCTTTAGTGCGAATACATCATTAGCTGTCGAGTCGACAGAGAAAGCTAATGTGACATGTACAAGACAAAGTTTTCTCCATAGGAAATAAAGAAGAATTAGAACGTTGACTGCCTTTTAGTCTGGTTTCTCCCCGTTGATCTGTCCGGCTTGGTTGTACCTGCCAGAGGCTCACATGCCTCCGCCGGCTGAGTTCTCAGGATCATAGAAACGCACAAGCCCCTCCACCACGGCAAGGTGGCAGTCCATAAGAGGGGACGTCCAGTTTTTTAGTCTGTAGTCGTTATGCGTAATCGTAATTGGTAATCGTTAGTTATTAATCGTTAACCGTTGACCGTCTGTCGTGAAGTTGCCATTTCTTACGAATGGCCAAAATTTTAAGCATTATCTGCAAAAGCCATCACCCCATTGGGATCATCTTTTACTTCGGCCGAACTTAGTGACCTCTCTGAGCATCGACTCCGACTTCCAAGCAACTCGATGTCTTCTTTAAGAGACTCTCGAATGATCGTTATCACATATCTTCCAATGGTCGTTTCCTCTTTTTCGATGTAACCTTGAAACGCTTCCTGTCAAACCAAAGGAAGATAAGTGTTGTAAATACAAGGAGAAATTCCCTAGTTTTTGCATCAAATACGGGGAATAACGATTGATTGAAAATGCAGAAATGTGCTTATTTCGCTAATACTTAAAAGCCGACAACCCTCTCAAAAAACTATTGTGGTGGACGCCAAAGCCTCAAATGTTTGAGAAAAAAACTGAAAAAATCATCCAAGAACAGCCAAAAACAAGAAAACCGAAAATTCATAGCAACTCTTAATTCAATTTTCTCACAACGACGCTCGTAATATCGTCTAAAACACTTTTGAAAATAATTGATCTTATTATTGCTCTTCTGTCCAAATAAAGTTGATTTGAAAAGATTTCGCATATGTATTTGAGAATTTAATTATCATCTTCGTCTGAATCGCTAGATGCGCTCAAATTCCTAAGAATTTCTTTCGTGCAATCGTCAAAAGTTGACATTTAGAAAAAATAAATGAAGTTGAGAATGTATGAGTTGCGAAATTTTATGCCATGTTTTTATATTTGTCGGTTGAAATCGCGAAAACAAAGCCCCATGAAAGACTGTCACGCCAAGATCGCGAAATTAAGTACGAATAGGGTACTACTTAAAAATTTCTAAATATCCCGAATTGTCCACTAGGTATCTCTTGGTGTCTCATAATAGACCTTTTTAGCTATGTGGTCACGAGGTTTGAAATGGTAAACAAGAATTCAAAATGGCTTCTTAAGTATGTGCCGCATTTCGAGGACGAAATTCCTCCTTTGATCGCCGATGTGTTCATATCCACGGATAAATCAGCACTGAAATGACTAAAGTAATATAGAAATCGGTGACAATCGAAATGGAGCATAAACAACCTCAAGCTTGAAAAACAAACTTGTAAGCACACGATCTTTGGATCAAGATCGCAAAAATACATGAAACGGGTAAAAGAGGGAAGCAAATGTATTACGAGTTGTTGTCTTTAAAACATCTGAATGAGTCTGTTTACGGGTTAGACCTTAGCATGGTTTCAAGAATTAGATAGGGAAATACGGGGCTCATAATAATAGCGATGAAACTTTTTAGTGTCTCTTAAATTCATAGACATCCTCGAATAATATTCCTAAACCATCTCCGAGACCGGAAGTATCAAAAAATAATTATGCACTTGTGTAGAGATCAAAGTCTGACGTATCGATGCTTGCATTTCATCTTTCCACAAGGATCTAATACTTTTTGTGGTTGTTGCCTCGGAGATGACAATATTTCACGGCTCTGTTCAGGAAAAGACACGTGTTTTAATGGAATCTTCATTGGAAAGTGATCAGTCTACACGCGAAGAGTGAAGCTGGTTCCGTCAGCGCAACTGCGATGCTCTTGAATAAGTTTATCAACCTTTTTGAACGAGCGTAATAGGTAGTCAACCATATCAGAAGTTTCTGAGATAAACCGGCAACAAACAGTCAAAGCTAGAACATCATACAACTTATAAAATTCAGGACTTAAATTAAGACACACGGAACTCGAAAGAGCCGCCACGAATGTTGCATTCTTAATTCGGTAGTTTCAGTCTCCATCAAGTACTGGTCTGGTAAACAATGCTACTTTCAAAAAATGCATGGATAGAGACGTTTGTGGATAATAATCTTAGTAGCGCTTTTTTTACTCGTGTTTTGATTAAAAAATTAGGCGTATGATTTTTCAGACCAAATTTTCAGTTCAGAGGGGTAGTAATAATTAAGTACATACCAGTCCTCCGTTTTCAAGCATCCATTTCGAAAGCACTTTGCACGCCTCGGTATTCGAAAAGAGACCGGCGACATCGGGCAACTGTGTATGTGGCTGACACAACGAAACGAAGAATTCGCCAATTACGACCAAGTAGGTCGTAACCTTCCGCCACGATGGCTGCGAGATCTCAGGAATAGAGTTATTCATGTTCTCCAGAATACTGATGCTGTATGCTGTGACTTGCTCTAGATGGTTTGAGACGCGACCGCGAATCAGTTCCTTATTTCTCTCTTTCGTCGCCAACAAAAACTTGACGACGTTTGCTGATCGGTTGCAGGAGGGTTTTAGAGCATCGTCTCGGAGATCGTTCCTGACTGACTTCACATAGTCTTTCAGAATGCTGCCAAGCGAGATCTGAAGCTTGACTTCGTTCAAAGCTTCTAGCAAATCGTGACGGCCAACGGAAGAGAGGAAGTCTTCAATCCAGGACGTCTTTGTAACAGACAGAACAGCATCAGTGAGAAGAAAGTCAATCCAAGAGAAGATATCACTTACGGAAGCCATCTTGTCTTCTCGCTTCGAATCCGGAACAACTCCTTTACACCAGAGTTTGAAAGCCCCACGATCATCAGTCGTTAGAGACTTCCCAAAGTGGAAAAAGAAGCCTTTGAAAACGGGTGGATACTGGCAATCCATCTAGCCAGAAGAGTTTTAAGAAATTGGTTTGACCAAAGTATCACCTTTGTTTGTGCTAACGTAGCAGAACTTAGGTGACAAGAGCCCTTTCACAATACGTCATTTTTAGCTAATTATACTACTCTCGTTCCCAGGGCCCTTGGGTAATTTAAAACCCCGATGTTTTCTTCTCTTGCTTTTGATTTCGTTTTATTTGTTATTGTTAGGAGATTGGACACTAGCCTAGAGATATAGAGGCAAGACCGATACAACGTAGATAAGTTTTAAGACGGAGCACTATATTTCGGCTGGCCAAACTAGCCTTCTTCAGGTGCCTGAAGAAGGCA